CCCCTTTTCCTCTTGGGCAATTTTTTCCGACTGTCCCTTTTGATCTTAATGGTGTTGATGATGGGGGCTTAAAACATCCAAATCAAAACTAAAAACAACACAAAAATCTTTCACATTTTCAGCTCTTTGTTTTCTTGTCTTATTATATAGTATTTATAACAGACGTCTGTAAGTGGTGTAGCAATTAGACACTTCACGCTCGCACGCAGGAGACCCGGGGTTCGATTCTCGAGTAGGGAGACTTTTTATCAAGCATCTCGGTCTTTCCGCTGGGGTGTTGTGTGTATCCCCCTTATCCAAGTCTGTTTCAGACAGGCAGTGTCGGAAGCACAAGCCTCCTAAATGGTCTAAATTTTGTCAATAGGGGCGTAAAAAAACAATAATTTAACAAAAATATCTTCTTCTCTTTGTAAAAAGATTCTTTTTCGAAACTAGAACTTCCGCACGGTGGGTGGAATCACGTTCTAAAGTATTCCTTAGCTACACAGCAGGTGACTTAGAGCAATGAAAGTTGGGGGTGTGGGTGGGGGTGTGGGTGGAGTCTCTGAAGGAAGAGCGAAATAATTTCATGGACTTCACTTTGGATTCAAATCCGGAACTTCCGCGTACCTGCCAGTTGTACTATCTCTCACTGTGGCACGAACACGATTTGCATTAAACACCAGTACACACGGTCTTCACTTATACAACGTTATCAATATTTTGTTATATTGCCATTTTTAGTTTACAGAAGACAATCGGGCATCATATAAGTTAATTTCGTTGTTATGAAATCATATTGGGCTTTGGTGTAGATTTCACTGGTTCGAATTACCAACGCGACGTCTTTACAAAACTCTCCACCCACATGACTCGGTTCTTCCGAAGATAAGCGTTGAATTAGGAGGAATTAACTATTTATTAAATAATCTCACTGTCTTTACTGGTACGCATTAAGAAGTACGACTCAGAAATCTTTTCTGCAAATCTTAGTCGCTTGGGGATGAGCTGAGCGTGTTTGGCACAGTAAAGCTTTTTACGAAACTAACTTCTGAACACTATTCCAGTTTTTACGCATGTTACGCATTTTCTAACTCTGCTTTGCACCCCCCCCCCCGGCCAAATCACATACACACTCAAACACTCACTCCCCTTTAAATTATTTTTTCTTCAAAACGATTTTAGTATAGGTGACAAATAGTTCTCCCGTTTATGTCTTCACATCCCAGTTTGTGCTGTATTTTGAAGGTCTTTTTTGTTGTTTTTTCTTGTTGTTGCTGTTGCTACTTTTTTGGCGACGATTTTCTCTAGTATTCCCACGACAGCTAGTTTAGAGATGTGTAAGGCTGAGGGAGCCCACAGTGCACAGTAGGGGTTAGGACAGGAGTTACGGCGCAAGGTGTGGGGATGGGCTTCAAGGTATGCGGGGGCGAAATAAAATTAATGTGACAAAGGTCTTACCCCTGTTTCCACGGTATGTGCGTATGTGTGAGTGGATGTAGGTGTGTATTTGTGCTGCATGTGTGTATGTTTGTGTGTCTGTGTGTGTTTGTGTGTGTGTGTGTGTGTGTGTTTGTGTGTGTGTGTTTGTGTGTGCGTGTGCTTGCCTTTGTGTGAAAAAGAACGTTCGTCCAACTAATATGATGTATACTAAATGGAAACAGCAACAACAACAATGGGGACTAGAATAAATGTCGGTGGGTTTGTTTTTTTAAAGCATCATTGACAAAATTTAGATCATTTAAGAGGCGGGTTTCAACCCAATATGTCAAGGTCAATCCCCAATATCTCAGCATGAAGACCAAGGTTAAAGAAACCTTTTTAAAACAAAGTAAAACAAAAGATGTAAGTTTTCTATACAATCAGAATGTCCTGATATCTTTATTTGCTGCATCAGTGACTGACCTGTCTTACTTCGTCTCAGAAGTGACTTTCCTTTTCCTTTAGTGCGTTGTAGCAAGGTGTCACGGCAGGGAAGACCCTACTTCTTTTCTTTACCCGTGTTGGTTTTTTGTCCATCTCGCTTTTTCCGTAGCTCTAAATGGCCATTATAAACTGTGTTGACGTGCTACCCTTTTAAAGATAGCCCCCTTTCTTTGTTTATTAGAAACTGTGCATTATCTTTTATGCCTGGTCTTTTTTTTTTGCATGATCTTTTATGCATGATCCTTACTTTCTATGCTGTGACTGCCTGTTGTATTCGAACTGTGCCCATTTAGTGTGCTTACAAGTCACACTATGATTGCTTCTCCAGCTTGCTTATTGTCTAAAGGCTTTAACTTTAACAGTCCCGTGCTAAGAATACTCTTCTCTCTTCTGAAACTTTTGTAAATTTATCTGTAAGCGCCTCTTACGATTTTTATCTAGAATAGACAGTTGGCTTGCATTTTCCTATAACATTTTTGTGGTTAATTTATGACTCCTAGTAAAAGTTATAAGAACACTTTTCAAATCGATTTTCACGGAACAAATTACACAACCCCTGTTATATTTGTGGGGCAAAACTAAAAATAAGAGAGCTAAAGAGACCAAAACACAAGCAAAACACACACATACATATTTTTTTAAAAACCCACTCAGACAGGATGCAAAGTCATGGATAAATTTTAAAATAATATATTTGCATTTCAACAAATTGAAAGGTTGCTTTATTGCCAGGTAACAAAATACGTATATTTTGTATTTCTCAATCTCAGTATACGTTAAGTAGGCACGCACTTGCCACAGGCGATTAAGAACAAACAATTTTATTATGTAAGTTGATGAAATAATAACCTTGTTTACGCACTAATTTCAGTAGCCAATATAATAATAATAATAATAATAATACTATCTCCTGCTGTCTATCTTCAGGGCGATGACGTCACCAGCGATACTTCCGGAGACACAAATACCAGTGACAGTGGTCGGGGCAACAGTGTTGATGACGTCAATTTCGAACAGATTATGAAAGGTGAGAACTAGACTATACGGTGCAGAGAACCTCGGGGAAACCTTTTTACTGTTGGTTTCTGCCTCTGATCTGAGAAGCAGCCTGGATGACGCAGAGAGTCAAATCAGGGGGGAGGGGAGGTGTAGTGTCAGCTCAGTTGATATCACGGAGTAAATAGTCCAGGACGAAATTCGGGCCGGGCATTCTGGGTCTAGGTTGTCTTGGGGAATTTTAAAGACGGAACACATCTACCTCTGAACAGTCCTATCGGTGCTAGGGGTTAAATTCAAAGGTCATACCTCTTAAATAAACTAACAGTGTTGAAAGGGGTGTTAGACTTATACAATAACTAATCGTATAATGAGGAGATACTTTGTCGTTTATGACGTATCTTAGAAGATGACAGTGCCATTGAAACGGACTGTATTTAGCCATGCTGGAAGAAAAAGGTATGCCATGTGTAGGACCACGTTCTGAGTGCCATTTACATGTTTGCAGAGAGAAAGAGAGAGAGAGAGAGAGAGAGAGAGAGAGAGAGAGAGAGAGAGAGAGAGAGAGAGAGAGGGGGGGGAGGTGGCAGAAAGAGGACGAGCGCATGAGGTCGCTGTGGTGTGGTTGAGGGAGGGGAGATCGATCAATTCCAATATGAGACCGCAAATATTTTATTCCGAGTTGGGTACTTTGAATGTACTACAAGATAAATGTATAATTTTGGAAGTTTCCCGATTTAATCCAGTAACAGATAAACAATGCATGCAAGAATTAATGGAAAAAAATTGACCCCGAAGCCCTGTGCTTCTAGTATCATTAGATATTTTGTGTGTGTGTGTGTGTG